GTACAGAGGCGGTAGTAGATCTCATTCTCTTCTTCTGGTTCTAAGGTACTTGTCCGGTCCGTGTGCGAACTTCAGGAGGAACACATTTTCAAGTCCGCAAGAAGCTCAGAGAATTCACATTACAGTAGGACAATGATCAATCTACTAAAGAACGGTTTAAAAAGAAAAAAATATGTAGGAGTAGATATATTCGCATATTGTTCGGTTCACACTCCTTCCCTGTCTTTTGAACAGGAGTAGAGGTTCATCCCCTGTTTCCTGCTTAGGATTGGGTTTCTGATTCCTTCTAAAGACTTCTCTCACACTATACTTCTAATGTCTCTGACTGAAATATGAAATGTTATTCACTAATTAAATCTTAACCTCTTCAAGTCTAGAGTTAGTCGTTTTCTTTCCTGCATGCCCCCAAGCACTTCACTTCTTGCCCTTTTCTTAATCTAATGCAACTCCACACATTAACTCTCTACCTTGAGTGGCTCTTGGGTCATGTATTGGGTGAACATTAGTAAAAAATAAAATAAAATGTTTTATTGGCCAGAATCAGAGTTCGGATCTGAATCTTATAGAAAATCTCCGGAGAGATCTGAAAATATCTATCCGGTGAATATCACCGATAGACCAGACCGGGCTGGAGCAGTACTGCAAAGATTCAGTTAGTTACGTACCATGCGTGATATATGACTGACGAGGCAGATTTTTTCCGGCAGTAGGTTGCCATTTCTTTCTGCAGTAGACCAGTTGCCGTCCAAGGCTATAGAACCCGATCTGTCCTGCTATTTACCCATAGCTTGGGGGAAGAAGAAGAAGATTCATACCTTTCCCAAGGGTATTAGCATGTTAGTGAATGTAATGGTTTCGAATGGAATTCGAACTCGGCTCTCCGATTCCTCAATCTGAGCCGCTATCCATTACTACTGAAAAGTATAGTAGGGTAAAATGTCCAGGGAATATAGCAAAAAAAAAAAAGAAAAGTTGTCACAGGTTATCCAAAGCGATTGGAAGCTGTTTGTGTTGCAAAAGGATTTGCAACGAAGAACTGTGAATTCGTTTAAAACGCTGTAAAATCATTATTTCGTCATTTTCTTAAAATTCAACTTTCGAGTAGTTTACATTTCTTTCAATGATTGCCATCTAAACAGCATGCATTTCGTTAGGAAATCTATTCAAATGACTTGTAAATAGAAGCATAGTTTTCACGAGTCGTGAATACGTTTGAAACAAACTGTGCGTATATCAATAGATAAAAATGAATTGATTTGATTAGATTAATGTACAGTGTAACCCGGATATAAGAGACCTGGATATAAGAGAAATCCGGATATAAGAGAGATTTTCTCTGGTCCCAAATTACAGCCTGTGTTACCTAAAAAAAAATAGACCAAACCCGGATATAAGAGAAACCCGGATATAAGAGATTTCTCCTCCGGTCCCGACAGCTCTCTTATATCCGGGTTACACTGTATAGAGCGTTGGTGCATATAATAATAGTAAGGATTTCGGCGTATTTTCCTTTAAAAAACCTATCTTCTAATTATTGACAATATTACCTGAGATTTATTGAGTTAAACGATCAGGGTATATTTTGTCATAAGATATCTATCTATCTATCTATCTATCTATCTATCTATCTATATATATATATATATATATATATGAAGAAATATAGTCTTAAGTTGTGCTATATTTATGGTATAAAGTGCTCGATATCAGAGATAGAACGTGTGTAAATATAAAAGTGAGCATAGAAGTCAACACTGAGAGGCGACAATCTGTTTCATGCTATATGCAATATTGCATATAGCATGAAACAGACTGTTGCCTCTAAGTGTTGACTTCTATGTTCACTTTTATATATATATATATATATATATATATATATATATATATATATCCTAGTCTGTTTAAATCTCTTTCTCCTTCCTCTCTCTCTCTCTCTCTATCTATCTATCTATCTATCTATCTATCTATCTATCTATCTATCTATCTATCTATCCCAGTCTGTTTCGTGCTGGTAACACGATAAACTACATCCGATAACATCTGATGAGTTTTTAAGGAGCGTGGAACCACCTTTTAATTACTGGTGTGCCCAGGTCCAACCTGACCTGGGGTGGTAAGGTCCCAGCTATGGGCAAATTGTTAACCCCAATCTGCGGTGAAAACAACATGAAAAGTAAAAATAGGTTTTAATACCAGCAATAGATTTTTTCAAAAAATTATTACCAGTAATAAATTTTTGAAGGAAAAAATTGTTACCAGCAATACATTTTTGAAATAAAAGTTTACCAGCAATATATTTTTGAAGGAAAAAAACATTACCATCAATAAAAATTTTGTCAGCATTAAATAACCAGTTGAGGTTGAATGCCGTTAAACAAACCAAACCAATAGTAGTCTGTTTAAATCTATCTATCTATCTATCTATCTATCTATCTATCTATCTATCTATCTATCTATTTCAATTAGTTTTTATCTATATATTTATTCTTATGTGTCTATTTTTGCTTGCTCATATCTATCTCACTGCCTGCCAATCTATCTATCTATCTATCTATCTATCTATCTATCTATCTATCTATCTATCTATCTATCTCATTTCGCGTTATTTTTAATTAAAACGCTTGTCTCCACTTGTTCTTCGCAATCCTTAGGCGCCATTTTTCCATCGATCGTTTGTGTCACTTTCTTTCACATTTTTTTAAAATGTTTTTTTTTTCTCGACGAAATAAACACCGAACATAACCCACGCCATAATTATTTATGTGACGTAAAGATGACGTAAACGGCGGGTACAACCACGTGACCACACACGTTTGTATTTACGCTCTGCCTAATGAAAGAGAGGGTGATGGTTAGAGAGGGATAGTTACAGAGACAGACGAGTTTACAACTGGAGATATGTCCTCTCCTATTGATTAAAAGTAAACAATTGTCGAAGAGGCGAAGATAGACATTTGGGTGCGCAGACGCCGGCGTATACAGATGACTCTGAGCAGGATACAAGTTTATATTGTAAACTTCATTCTCTTTCCCATGAGGGCAAATTCAATACAAGGTTTGGTTTCCTATCGTACATCATAGACGTACATGTGAGCAGAAACATTTCCCAGTTCTCTCTGCATTCCCTGTGGCGTGCCACTGGAATAGTATGAGATAATACTCCTGAAAATGTCCTTTTAGTACAGTAGAGAGAGGAATAATAACGATGAATGGGAAATAGAACTGTAATCAGGTAACACACACTTGCGGGCGTGCCTATTATGACAAACCTCTCATCAACGGACTAATAGGGGGAGGAGGTTAGTTAAAGGCGATTGTCCGTAAATGGGAAGGGATTATTTTTTAGTTGTAAAACCACTATAGTAACTACCAGTATTTATGATCATAATGTAAATACTAGAAACATGCATACATGGCATAAATAAATATATACTTAATATTATATTAATCCAAGTAGCAAAAAATAATAGATTTCTCACAGCTAGTTTCTCACGCACGCGCTAATGTATCGTACTTTATGTAATGTACACTCAGCTTTGCTTACAATTGAAAGGCCCGCCACTGCCGCCTGGTGGTCACTTTGACAACTAATACGACACGTTCCGGTAAGCTCACAAATTTGGAAATACATCGCTGAACATTTGGGAGTTTTTTTTTCTGTAGATTGTTTTTATTTTGCCTGCAGATTTTGTCCGTTGCATCCGAAGTTTGCTGATGGAGAGTCCGTAGATGAGAGGTTTCTCTCTCTTTCTCGCTCTCTCTCTCTCTCTCTCTCTCTCTCTCTCTCTCTATATATATATATATATATATATATATATAAAGAAAGAACAGTAACATATATAATCCGGTGTTCTTATAGATATTTTATTTTTACAAAATAGTGCTCAATGTAAATTTACAGAGCATTAATATTATAAATTAATTGATTTAAAATATGTTTTTTCCGCTACACAGTTCTAACCATCTTTCAAAAATTGAAGGTCCGAATTTAATTTTGTTATTAAATTAAAGACATTAGTTCCATTTCATCCTCAAGCGAATATTTTTTTTCTCTTGAGGATGAAATGGAACTAATGTGTTTAATTTCATTACAAAATTAAATTCAGACCTTCCATTTTTGAAACATGGTTAGAACTGTGTAGCAGAAAAACCATGTTTTAAATCAATTAATTTATAATATATATATATATATATATATATATATATATATATATATATATATATATTATTGAGCGTAAATAAATAAAAGTGGATTATTGAAACCAACACCCAGCGGCGACAGTCTGTTTCATGCTTATACGCAATCGTCAAAACTGTCGCCACTAGGTGTTGATTTCTATGTCCACTTTCATATTTATCTATCTATATATAAGAGGTCGGATCAAAAAGGTGTCGAGACTAGGGCTAGAAAAAGAAAACTTCAAAGCATATCAATCCGGCATTTAATCTCCTTTGAAGTATTTCCCTATTGAAACCACATACTTTATCCAGTTTCATTGGTGAAAGCATTCCTGGGACGCCTTTTTTTTAAGATAGTAAGCAACTGCCTCGTCGTTTTCTCTTGGATTTCCAAGGCATCTGGAAATCTTGCTTCTTTCATGTGGGATTTGATTTTTGGAAGGCGGAAAAAGTCGCAACGAGCTTGATTTGTGGAATATGGTAGTTGTCGAACATGGGGAATGTTATGATGTGCCAACAACTGTTGCACAAGAAATGATCACTAATAGAATTTCTGTGTTTTCGTTAGACGACCACACTCTACACATTTTCCTTCCAAGCGCTGGTATAAAAACGGAATTGAGCGAGAAAATTATAACTTAGTGTCTATGCGCCAAGAAGCTTAAGCTTCATCTGTATCAAGTGCTTCATTCTGCATACTTTTGCTACGCTGCCATAGCAATAGTCGCGAGAAATTTGATCATTTGATCAAACCTCGTATATATATATATATATATATATATATATATATATATAACGAAAGAGAATGATTTTCGTATTTATTAATCTGACAAATTTTTTGCGCCTAAGGATTGAGAAGAACAAGTGGAGACAAGCGTTTTAATTAAAAATAACGCGAAATGATTTAGATAGATAGATAGATAGATAGATAGATAGATAGATAGATAGATAGATAGATAGATATGAGCAAACAAAAACAGACACATAAGAATAAATATATAGATAAAAACTAAAACTTGAAGGTTATTTTTAGTGGTTATTCATATTTAAGTAAACGCTCCGTTTATTAATTAAACATTATATTTAATTATTTTCGTCTGCCGGCCTGAATATTCGAGAAATCTTAGAGGAATATATATATATATATATATATATATATATATATATATATATATATATATATATATATATATATATTAACGCGTCGTTTCCTATGTGAATATTTTCACATAGACCTTATAGTCTTTTTACATCTGTTTGCCAACCCACGTGATCAACTTTGCCCCGTATTCAAATAGATATTCAAATCGATAATTACTATATACGTTTTCAAATACAGTTTTAACAAATTAATCCTGGCGAGAAAAAAAAATCAATATTCAATCGAAAGAGTTGAGGCGGCAGGAAAGAAACGTAGCATGAAAAACAGGACATTTTTTTTTATTTTATTTTCTAGCCACACCTCCAATCAAAAAATAAGTAAATAAAAAATAAAATAAAATTAAAAAAAATTAATCGCTTTAATGATAAGATATTTATATACTTACAACTGTTGCCTGGCTGTTCGTGTTCGAGTCAACATAAAATCCACGATCATCAGAGATGCTTTTTAAAAGAAAGGAAAGTGCTACTTTCGACAAAATTCTTTTAATCCCATTTCTCTACAAAAAAAATGCTGAGTTAATAATTACCAATCTGTTTTTACACCTGTACTTTTCATATCTGGATCACATTGCAGTTTCTGTTTAATGAAATCTTTCACCGACTCTAAAAAAGTTGTGGAGGATAGACACGCAGAAAGAGATAGATAGATAGATAGATAGATAGAGAGAGAGAGAGAGAGAGAGAGAGAGAGAGAGAAATGAGCAAATAGATAGATAGATTCGTGGAAAGGAATGGATAGAGACGTGTATATAGATATAGAGCAAGAGAGAGTGGTGAAAGATAGATAGATAGATATGAACAGAACGTGATAGATAGATAGATAGATAGATAGATAGATAGATAGATAGATATGAACAGAACGTGATAGATAGATAGATATTGAGAGAGAGACATAGGTGGAAAGAGACATGCAAATAGAGATACGTTGAAATAGACTTGGAAATAGCTAGATAGCTATCTAGCTATTTAACTAGCTAGCCAGCTAGATAGAGACAGAGATATATTTGGAAATAGACATGGAAATAGATAGATAGATAGATAGATAGCTAGATAGATAGATAGATCCGATAGATAAAAGCGCAGTAAGAGATGACAATCATAGAGATAAACTTTCCTAGTATGGAGGAATTGCTTGCATAAAAAAATCACTATTCGAAATAATGTTTTTTTTCTCCATGGATTCACATGCTAACTGCTAGTATCGGTGAAATAAAATGAAACAGCTCGTTATGTCAACAAAAACGCCTCAAGACTTTAACTTTTGTCATTCAATCAGATATGACCAAATCAATCAGATATGACTAAATCTCCTTCGATCCGGTATGAACAAATCCCGTTTGATTGGATATAGCAACGACTCAATTGACCGGGGATGTTCCACTCCTTGATTAATAAATTATGGGCTACACTCACTGACAATTCCAAGAGCATTTTCCGACATTAAAGCTGTACTTGTTGACACAGCATTGCAGGAATATTTTGCTTAGAGTGTAGAGTGATATACAAGTGTAAGGATTTCTGAAATTATGGGATGTAGTGGCGAGGGTTAGAGTTTTTGTGTGTATGTGTGTGTGGGTGTGGTTTCTTTTTTTTTTTTTTTTTTTTTGGCATAGTACAAACACTGTCGCTTATATTGTGTAATTTTACATAAAATCTTACATTGGCCACACATGCACCATACTTTCCCGTAGCTTGACTTGTCACTTTTGTAACTTACAATTTGTGCACATGTCTAAAAAAAATTAATCAAAATAGCACTGTCAACAAAAGTCAAATATTAATAGATATTTCCAAAATACTATAGTACTAAGTGAAAGGAAAGATTCAGTGTAGTTGAAGATATTATTGTAGAAAAAACAAACACCCGCATTAAGTATATATGTCTTTTTCACTCGTGGTGATATTCTAAAATGTATATAAAATATATATTATGTGTACAAAATAATAATTATACACATAAATGCATGATACCTTATTTTCCAGTCTAACTGTTTTACACACGGCATCACTTATACGATAGGCGTATATTTGGATTAATTTGAATTCTAGCGTTCCAAAAAATGCCAATATATTGCAAGCAAAATTATGTCTACCATACTGAAAATGGTTGAAAATTTTTGAACAAAGACAGAGTAAAAATGAACTTTGGACAGTTTATCTACAATTTTATTTCCAATGTGCAACATCTTACTTGAAAATCAGAAAAATACAGTAAAAAATTAAAATAAACACGCCTTATCGGTTGAATTTACCAAAATTCAGTATCTGTCTATATTTCTGAGATGAGATATTATGTACACTATTTACATTATTCGGACTATTGTCTTTCATCTTTACCGCCACGTTTATCAAAACGTTTCAGCCGTTGTACACTCCGGCCTTCTTCAGGTGGTCGGAATGTCGAACTGAAACCTTTATTTCACTCACTGGGGTAGACTGTTCTAGTTCCACGTGCCATGTCTAATGGATGTCAGTTATCTCCTGTTAATTCTCCTCTGAAAGTTCTCCACTGCCTTAACCAGGTATTGAACTCACACTCTTTGAGTCCTGTCACTGGATCTAACTAACGCCTTTATCCACTGTCCTTCTTTAGATGGATGCTTACTTGCTACCCAAATATACCGTCTATGCACACATACACGCGCGCACCCACCATATATATATATATATATATATATATATGTATATATATATAAATATATATATATATGCGTGTGTGTGTGTGTGTGTGTGTGTGTGTGTGTGTGTGTGTGTGTGTGTGTGTGTGCAGGTTGTTTTTATGAGTTCCAATCGTAATCCTTTATGCTTTTATATGTATAGGTATGTATGTGCTGTGTTCATATATGAATATGTATATTAATGAGAGTTGTGTACATGTTAGCATATTTAAAGATGTTCTGTCTGACCTCAACTTTAATATATTTCAGTGTCGACTTGTGGTTGTTGGCTGCTGTAGCAGACATATTGCAAAGTGGCAATAAAGACTGCAATTTTTTCGCTATTAAGTTTTTTTTTATTATTACTCATTTTTGTAAAGGACTGGCTGACTGAGATCAACTCATTTAAGAAAACAATAAAATAAAATAAATTAGTAGATATAAATAGAGAAAAAGGTGCAAAGCATCAGTAGGTGAAATTAAAAGTGAAAGTGAAAATGAAAGTAAAACAAAAATAAATAAACTGATGTACATCGCCATACCCGAATTAGAATATCCGGAGTTTAGAAAATATCCATCAGATACTGACAGAAGCAATGCAATACATACACACCCACGTACACCCATATATACATATATATATATATATATATATATATATATATATATATATATATATATATATATATATATATAAATCCAAAATCAATAACACCTATCAAAATATGGAAAATCTACTAGAAATTAACGCATTTTGAAACGAGCAGAATTTTAGTCAAAATGCTCAAAAGAGACTTAGAGCGACAATAATCAATAAATCGACTGTTCTGAAATCAGACATATCCTTCTATGGAATCTATGATTAAGGTTTTTGATGTAGAGTATAAATACGATATTTGATAAGTCAATAAATTTATCGGACACTCTGACACTGACGAGTGGTGTTCCGCAAAACTTTGATGTCGGTCGAGAGATAAGTCGATTGAACTTTTATTCATTTATTGACTATATATATATATATATATATATATATATATATATATATATATATATATATATATATATTTATATATGTATGTATGAAAAAACGATATATTAATTTTATATATCAGGAATAATTTCAGGGGAAATCTATGACAAAGTGGAAGAAGTTTTCGCGTGACTTCATCGGACTAAAATGATGTTTACATAAACATCACTTTTATCCATAGAAGTCTTAAAAACGAAACGCATCTCACGAAACCTTTTTTTTTTTTTTTTTTTTTTTCACATTGTCATAGATTATATTCTGATCGAGCCCTACTCGGTCATTGGTCAGTTTATTCGAAGAATAAGTACGTAAAAATTAGCCTTCCTCTCAACCGGGCACTCAGGGGTATAATCGCCGAATAATGACAGATCCATTAGATTTCGATCCCGGCTTGAGGCAATCGGATGTCTAGCCATACTGATGAGCTGTGATACAGCAAAACAGTCTGTTTGTGGGCGACAAAATACCTATATATATATATATATATATATATATATCAAGTATGTGGTGCAGTTCAATTTACATTACATGAATCATTCATACAATGTATGAATTCATACAAAATGTTTTCGTATGAATGATTCATGTAATATATATATATATATTTATATGTATATATATATATATATATATATATATTAATTCAATATATATATATATATATTAATTAAATTTAAATAGAAAAAAGACAACCTCAAGTGTTCATTGGTTATAATTTATTTCCTCAGATATGTGCTTCTTACCTGGTTCATCAGACCACACTTTTAAGCGTGAGATAAAGGTTTTAAATTTACATATAATTTTTATACACTTTTTAGGGGTAGTTTTAAGCTGATGCAAGGTGATATAGAGATGAGGAAGAGGAGTATGGCAAATAGGTTCGAAATTTGTGCTGGAAGGGAGAGATAGGAATAATTTGGAATCTATTTTTATTAAAATACTTAAGAGCAAGGGAAGGGGTAAGGACCAGAAACTGACCTATTTCATAAGTCATCTCACAGGAAACGAGATAAAGAGAAAAAAGAGAAGTAAAGATATAAGAAAGCAGATGTGGAATCGGGGGTGTGAGGAAAAAAAGGGAAATAGAAAGTGTGGAAATAATAAAAGAAAAGGAAAAATAAATTAACATATATGGGCATATTGTGGTTTATAAAAAAGAACTAAACAAAATGAACACAAAACGATCAGCTTTAAAAAAGGATCGTAACTGAAAAAACCGAATGAAAAAAGAATGTTAACAACAAATACTTTTTCACACCCAACCCAGTTCTGCGGAATCAGAATCAACGTTGTGTTTAAGCAAGCGAATGAGCCAATTGGAGTAAAGTGCTATGCAGATTTAAATTTTTCCCACTTGTGACGAATGCAGCTATCGATGTTTTTTGCATGCTAGCATGCTAGTTAACATTCGTGTCAGTCAGCTGTTGGCTCTCACGCTGGCCAATAGAATCTTCCTGCCTATTCGTGTGGCAGCCACCTATTGGCTCTCACTCTGGCCAGTAGAAAATGGCCGCAAACTACATGAAAACTGCCGTAGAAGCATGAAAAAATCGATTATTTCCACTATCGATGGGAGTTGGGAAATGCAAAGTCGGTCTTGGCCTTCCCGCTAACTTGGAGCATGTTGCATGTAAAGTTTGGTGGAAATCCGTCGAAAATTGCGGCCGTGCATTCCTACACACACACACACACACACACACACACACAAACAAACACACACACACACACACACACACATCCTGCCTTTTATAGATAGAGATATAAATTAAAAAACGCCTGATAATTATGCACGAGCCCAATATATATATATATATATACGCACGCTCACGCGGACGATTGAAAATAACACATTAAGCTAACAGGTCCGAATACAAATACATTTCCAAGGAACATCATGGAAATAGAATTTCTTATTACTTACAAATGGAAATTGATATTAGTCTTGCTAAACTCGAATCATTGGTCATTTAGTGAATGTTTAGTTGGACTCTATAAAATCTCGATTTCAGAAAACCAAATGCGATGGGTTGGATGTGATAATGAGAGGGAGAGAGTCCAAACAAATCAAAGTCACTTTTTAAGTGATGACTTCAATGAGGTACTCGGATGATGACCCCCCTTTTGAAACCTTGAATATGTGGAATTAAATTGAATCATGAATTCGTCATGTTCACGAACATCCGAGACAGTGATAGATATGGAGAAGCCCAGGAGACGAAACTA